ATGGCAGTGCACTGTCCCGCTTCTGCAAGACTCCAAACGCGTAGGCCATGGATGGCCCGTTAGGCATGTTCCCTTTCTCCCTGCTTTCTCTCGCCTTGCTATTTGCTCCCTACTGCTTCGCTCGTTTTGCTTGCTCTTTGCTGTGTGTGGGGGAGGGTGTGGGGCTGATTCCAGGACACAGGACGGACTTTTTACCACGGATACTTATTCAATGCATCTCTCTCCGCCTGTACCTCGGCGGCGATGGCTAGATCGGCCGCCATCTCGGCCTCCATTGCCAGGAAAAGTTCTACGCTGCGCCGGTCCTCCTCCAGCTGCCGGTCCTCCTCTCGCACCAGGCGTTGGGCGGTGCGCTGGACCTCGGCCTCGGCCTCCTCGGCGGCCTCCCGGTCTCGGAAGCGGAGCTCTGCCTGCCATTCTGCCTCCGCCCACTCCTCGCAGCGATGGCACAAGGTTGTGGGTGACCTGCAGCGTGAGCAGCCCAGCGGGTGTCCGTAATCAGGGATGGAAGAATCAGGCGCTGTAAAGGTCACGGTAATGGTTACTTGGCTCGCTGGCGATTCTTTACGGCACCCTTGTTTGTTTACTTACAGGAGATGCTGCGGGCGGAGCCCGGGGGGCTGGCGGCGACGGTGCTGAAGGAGCAGTCCAGGACGCCTTCCGCCCCAAGGCCGCTGTCGTTCACCGGGCTGGCCCGAGGGCTAGGGGTGCCAGGGATGACGGAAGGCCCGGAGGACAGGTAGGACCCCCCGCTGCTGATGTTGATGATGCCCTTGGTGGCGGCGGGAGTCGACGGAGAGGTGGGCCCGCTGGACAGGATCACGGGGCTTCCCGGCGCACTCTGCGGGGGGGTCGCGGCCTGCGGCTGGTGGCTCGGCATGGCGCAGTCGCTCTCGCTGTCGCTCGAGATGAGGATCACCTCCTCCTTCTGGATCGGGCTGCTGTAGGCTGTGGGCGCACACTGGTGAGTCATATGACGGTCACGGGCAGGGTGTCTGGGGGCGGCTGCTTACCGCTCATGCTGGGCTCACTGTTCCGCTGTCACGGAGATGCTGTGGCGACTTGGCCGTGGCGCTGACAGGTGCTCAGTTTTATGCTGTTCCGGATCCCCCCCA